GGTATAGCTCAGCAGGTGTACTGTGCAAACCTGGAAGCCTAACTTTGGTCACTGGAACTCATAAATGTGGAAGGAGAAAACTGACTGATTCTACAGGGCTGTTGTCCTCTGACCACCATACCACTCCGCAGTACACATACACGCATGCCCAGTGATAACAAACAAGATTAGAAACCACACAAGCAAGGCCAAGAGCTAGCAGAGCTCTAGGTATCAAGGCAGACAGGAAACACAGGACAATCAGCTCAGTTCTGTGGTCTCTCAGGTCACATGCACTGGGCTGACACACGCATGATTCCTTAGCAAAATGTGTCCAGCTTGACAAATATTGACATATTTAGATGGAAGAACTAGAAATGTGGACAGAGAGTCATGTAAATATGTTGGCAGGTATGCTGGCCAGGGGGGTGAAGGTGAATGAGGCTGAAAGTCTGCCTACCACGAGCAAGGCATGGGCTTCTGCCCTCAACACTCTAAAATAAGTAAAACAATAATCCCAAATATTAAAATAGCGATTTTTCTCTACACAGATACACGCGTCTGCTGGTCTGTGCTCATGATATTCAATACAATAAATTATAGGTCAACTGTGAGGGTATGCAGGCAGGGACATGGTAACAGGCGAATGGATCTCTTGGGCAGCACAATGTTAAAGGCTTTAGTACTTGGCAGCAACTCTGGGGACATGTTGATGACAGGCCCTAGATGTCACCGGTGCTGAGGAGAGCAGTAGTGACAAGTGAATATTCTCTTGGATGCTGCTGTTCTTGTGTTTGTCACATCTACTTCTTTCCTGGGTCCACCTAATGATTATGAAAGCTACCCCAAATCCTCTAAGTCCTGTCCTTTTTATTTTATGTATTTATTGTGTTGGGCACAGGGTATTGAACCTAGGACTTCAAGCATCCTAGGCAAGTGGCATACCGTGGCACAGTACTATCAACCTTCTAGATTTTGGTTTTGTTTTGTTTTTCGTTTTTCGAGACAGGGTTTCTATGTGGCTTTGGAGGCTGTCCTGGAACTAGCTCTTGTAGACCAGGCTGGTCTCGAACTCACAGAGATCAGCCTGCCTCTGCCTCCCGAGTGCTGTGAATAAAGGCATATGCCACCAATGTCTGGCTAACCTTCTAGATTTTTATTAATCATTCATTCACTCATTCAGTTTTGAGACAGAATCGCAACCCAGGCTGGTCTCAGCTCACTGTGTAGGCGAGAATGACCTTTAAATTCTGATCCTCCTGCCTCCATCTCCCTAGTGCCAGGATTATAGGTGTACAGTGCATTCTGCCAGTGTCTCAGTTGGAGCTTTGTCTTCTAGGCTATTACAGTAAGTCAATTGTCACCATGACCTCATTTCCACATACCCTTCATTGCCACAGAATTCCCAGCATACACATGACCACGTCCCTACCCTGCTAAACGGTCTCATTTATTACCCATTTACAGTAAAGCTCAAATGGTTTGTGAGGTTGTCACAACTACTCCTTTTCTTACTCCCTTAACCCCAAATTCCTTCTCTCCTGAAATGTGAATGCTGCCTTATTTGTTTATTTATTTTTTCATCTTAAGATGATAGGCATGGGCAAGCATCTGATTGGCCAGGCTGATCAACAGTCCATTCTAGAAACTGCTTGACAGTTTATTTCTGTCTACATAGTTGCAGTATCCAGCATCAGAAATGGTCAGTGACCACAATTTCCTCTCTACTGAGCCAGAAAAATGGAGAACATTCAGTGTGAATCTCAGTCAGAAAGTCAAGGTCAACCTCAACTTCCCTGTGAGTCCAAGGGGAGGACTCATATTCCTACAAACTCCTTCTGAAATGCTTTTCACTTTTTTTCCCTTTGTAATTTTTGTTTTTTAGGTAGGCTCTCTTGTAGTCTAGGTTGGCATTGAACTCACTAAGTTGCCAACCATAACACTGAACTCCTGATCTTCCTGCTCCTACCGCCAGAGAAGTGGGATTCCAGAGTGCTGGCACTCCAACCCAGGGCTCTGAGCACATTAGGCAAGCATTCTGCCAACTATATCAGGGCCTGGTTTAGATTGTTTGATACCTGTACCCAACAGTCCTGGACCACTGCACAAAATCCAACTCCTCGAGCCATCATCTGGGTGCTTCTTCCCCTTAGAAAATACTTCATGCGGGCCTCAGAATGCTTCACACTACTCCACTCTGTATACCGCCCTCTGGTATATGCTTATCCAATCAATCACACTTACCTCACTGTGATGGCAGTCCTACTTACCTATTTCAAGATGTTTTCTGAAAATATCTCTTGCCTTCAAAGAGACTGAACTTTTATTAGACTTGGAAGCCAAGTTAATAATATACCTGGAGGCCATTTAAGACTATGTGCTTTGCCAGGCAGTGGTGGGCACACCTTTAATCCTGGTACTTTCAAGGCAGAGGCAGGTGCATCTCTGTGGTTCAAGGCCAGCCTGGTCTACAAAGCAAGCTCTAGGACAGCAAGGGCTTTTACACAGAGAAATCTTGTCTTGAAAAAATAAATAAATAAAACGACTATGTGCTTCACCTGCTGTCCTACTGTGTGCTTAGCCTGTTTAATCTGCCTTTAAGAAAACAATGTAACCAATCTTTTTTTCTTAAGATTTGTTTATTTATTATGTACACAGTATTCTGACTACACACTCAAAGAGGGCACCAGATCTTATTATCTGCCAAGGGCTGCCATGTGGTTGCTTGGAAGCCAAGTTAATAATATACCTGGAGGCCATTTAAGACTATGTGCTTTGCCAGGCAGTGGTGGTGCACACCTTTAATCCTGGTACTTTCGAGGCAGAGGCAGGTGCCTCTGCCTCAGAATCTCTGCAAGAGCAGCCAGTGCTCCAACACAATGTAACCACTCTTAATATGCTTTGGATTTTCCATGCAATCAGCTTTTACAACCTAGCAACCTAGCTTTACTCTTAAAAATTATGTACTCTTCCATGAACCAGAGTAGAGTGTGTGTGTGTGTGTGTGTGTGTGTGTGTGTGTGTGTGTGTGTGTGTGTTTACTGAAAGTAGCCAGTGGGTTGAAAGTAACCTTAAGGGCTAGAGAGATGGCTCAGGGGTTAAGAGCACTGACTGTTCTTCCAGAGGTCCTGCGTTCAATTCCCAGCAACCACTTGGTGGCTAACAACCATCTGTAAAGGGATCTGGTGCCCTCTTCTGGCCTGCACTGTATACATGATAAATAAATAAATCTTAAAAAAAAAAAAAAAGAAAGTAACCTTAAACAAAACGAATATCACCATAAATGTTAGAAGCAAGTGATATCGGTTGATAACATGTGTGAGGTTTTGAGTGTTCTTGTGGGTCAGCTGAGGTCAGTGGTTTCTTCCCATGTAAACCTGTTGAAGAGTTCTGTAAAGAAACCCTCATTTCTTCCCCATACTATGCTTCCTGTGCTGGTCAATAAATACAGAACAAAGCCCTTTGCTAGGACAGGTTTAACACACAGGAAACACAGGGCAGGCAATGGGGATAGATCAGACACACAACACAAGGGCTACAGACAGGTCAGAAACCACCAACTACAGATGGAAGACACCAGGAGAGAAATGGGGAATTCATATTTGTGCTTTCTCTTGGTCAAACTATTACAAGAGGAAGCTTGATTTGTTCCTAAGTGTGACATCCATGCACTTACCTATTATTGTGTGTGTGTGTGTGTGTGTGTGTGTGTGTGTGTGTATGCCATGTGTATGCAAGTGCCTGTGGAGCCCAGAAGGTATCATATCACCTGGAGCTGTAGTTAAAGGTGGTTGTGAGACACCCAGCACTCTTAACCACTGAGCCATCTCCCTAGTCCCTTATGTACATTTTAAACTCTTCAAAGACCATCCTATTTGTTCATGTAACTCCACAGCCTACCACCACTGGAGAACACATAGCTGGAATTTGGTAAACAATGGATAGATAAGATTAGTTCAGTACACCAAGTAAATTAGCATATGCTAGTTCTAGCAAATCTAGAAGGACATGGCCAATTGATGACCAAGAAGTTAAGTCCCCCGTAACCATGCTGGGTGCCTGAGGCATCTATAACTACAGCTCCAGGTGATCTGACCCTGTCTTCTGGGCTGCAGACACCTGCATATACGTGTCTGAAGGATGTGGCCAACTGATGAACCCAGTAACTGATGAAGACAGCTGTCTCTGGATGCAGTCCAGCATTCAAACACAAGAGTAACTTAATGCAGCTGACCAGCAGGAAGCAGTATCCACTGAAAAGCCACCACTGCACTCTCCAAGGGGTCCAGGTTAGTCTTGTGCCTGAGACAAACTCTTCTTTCTCCATCTCAAGTAATTGTTCACTCTGCTAAAAACATACCAGCCATTTTTAGAGCTTGGTCTGTCTGCACCAAGTATTCTTGAGAACCTGATGGGAGAAGTCCTTTTGTGTATATGTTTGTCTTATTGGTTGATAAATAAAGCACTGTTGGCCAATAAGAAAGCAAGTTAGGTGGGGCTAGGAGTTGAGGAGGATTCTGGGAAATGTAGTAAGGACAGGAGTTGCCATGTGATCCCAGGAAAACAGGATGCATAAGGCCGGCGTCCTCGATAAGTCTTTATAAAATATATAGATTAGTAGTTATGGTTGATAATTAAGACTGGGCTAGCAAATAAGAAATACTAGTTGTTGGCCAGCAGTATTGTAATTAATATAAGACTCTCTGTGTTATTTTGGGGCCCTAACGTGATGGCAGAATTCAGGAGGCTGGTGAAGAGTTATCATTACAAGAACCCCCTTATGTTTTACACTTTGGATTTGTTTTTAGTTATCTACATCAACTTCATCAGTTCAGAATACCCAATCTAAAAAATCCCAATCCAAAATCTGAAAGTTTCTAAATGAAATAAATACCAGATTTTGTATTTTCAAATTAAGGAAATGTAGGCTATATATATTTTCTAAAAACTACAGCAGACAGAGAGGAGGTATGTTCTTCAATTTCATATTCAACACAGAAAACAAAGGAAACAGAACACGATTTCTTCATGGCAAAGATGATTTATTTTACTTCATAGGAGAAATGTAAGAGTTTCATATAGCAAAACTACTGAACTTGTTGAAGAAACATGAAAGAGCAATACAATCAAGCAGTCTGTAGCCAAACACAACAGATTCTAAAGTAGTTTGCTTTGGGTTCTCAAATTAAGATTTTTTTAAAATATGATACTTCCAATTAAATGTCAGATAAAATAAATTCACAGAGGTACAAAATATTGATTTGTGCTTAAAAAATTAATAACTACAGCTCACCATCATTTTGGAAGTGGTGTCAACAGTCAATCAAGTGTTTCACAAACACTTTGGAATACATCTAAAGGCAGAATCTTGCTCTCCAGATAAGTATCTTTTTAAAAAAAGAAACTACTAAAGTGATAGGTTGTTACAACTAAGATACAAATGTTTAAATTAATAAATACTAAAGGGAAGAAATGAGACTTTTCTCAGAATTGTAAAGAATGCTCATTAACTCCTTACAAAAAGAAACAGTCTGTTACTTTAAAACAAAAAAAAAACACTGAGGACAGTACAGAAGGAAAGCACAGATGTGTTGGGAAATCCTACCTGCTCTTTCCCCAGTTGTACAGTGTGAAAAACAATGAACAGATTCCCTTCTGTAAAAACTTCTACAGCCACCAGCTACTACAGCCATGTTTCACTAGAAAAATAGCTCACGAGTCAGCATTAATTTAGGTAAGACAATTTTTAATCTTTAATTCTAGCATGATTAAGAAACATGTAATAGGCTAGTTCTGATGGTACAAGCCTTTAATCCCCAGCAGTTGGCGGATGAGGCAGGTGGTCTGAGGCTGCCCTGGTCCCAGGCCAATCAGGCCTACAAAGTGAGACCACCCTATTTTAAAAAAGAAAAAGAAAAATCTCTCTCAGTGCAAATAAAGCCAACCTGGGCCCTAATATTTAAAATTGTACAACCATTTCTTAAAAGTCTTACTTTCACTTAGTAATTTATTAAGTAAAATAAACTTGCTTTTGTAACTGAAGTTTCCAATTGAGACATTCAGAATAATGAAACAAAAATCTGAAACTAGGTCTGAGTGCCTTTGTTTCCTACATTCTGAAAATATTTAAGTAAAGTCTATTTTGGCTTAATTTCCCCTAAAATTGCCCAGGGCTGTAAGCTGTCAGAATGAGGCCGAACATGATTTACACTCCATTCTGCAAACAACAGAATGTGCTACTTGCTTTGTGCAAAGTCTTAAATTCAAACTAAAAGTATTCAGGGCAAAACAAAAATTTTTCAAAACTATTTCTTTCGGCAGACATTGGTGGTGCATGCCTTTAATCCCAGTACTCAGGAGGCAGAGGCAGGCGGATCTCTGTGAGTTCAAGGCCAGCCTGGTCTACAGAGTTCTAGGACAGGCTCCAAAGCAATACAGAGAAACCCTGTCTCAAAAAACAAACAAACAAACAAACAAAATTCCTTTCACCAGTGAGGGACACATAATTTTCAATATTTAACTCATTTTTTATATAAGAACAGTTTGTGGCCATAAAATTCAGACATTAAAAAAAAAAAAAAAAAAACCTGACCCAACAATACTATTACAGGAATACATGTAGACTCAGCAACTTGAGGCAGGCCCTCAGAGCTCTCAGCCAAACAGATACTGACAGAATCAGCCCTGAATCTCCCAACTGATAGGAGCAGAGGGCAAGGGACACCAGGAACCTGCTTTGACATTTCAATTAAAAGTCGTGGCTAAAACAAACTCCAAGTGTTTGGGTTCTTTTGATTAGTTTTTTAGTGCTTGGATGCCACAGTAAATTAAAAGCACCTTATTAACTCGTCACTTGCCTTTAGCTCTGCTCAGTAAATGTGGCCTACACGAATTTCTTTCACAGTCCAGGGACATGGAGTGGAACCAAGACCACGCCTTTAAGTTGTATCATGCTCACAGGAGGCCTGCTTCACCTGGCTGGCACTGGAAATATGGCCTGGCTCATCCATCTTTGCTTCATTTTCCATCCCAGCTGTAAACTGACCTTTTCTTTGTGTTGTCACAATGACAAACTTATTAAGAGAATGCAAAATACAAAAGGCAGAGCAACAACGCTAACAGTGGGATGATCCATTATATTTAAGATTAATCTTACAAACTTAATTACACTTACTCAGAAGTGTCCCTTCAGACTCAGTCAGTCCCATAACGGGCATACCTGTGACTTAGCACCAGCACGGCACTGCAGGCTTTGTTTCAGGTTTCAGGTTTATTCTGTTATCAGGCGGTTGGCTGAGCATCAGTGGCTTGTGGCTCTTCAGCTTATGAGCCAATGTCATAAATATAGCTTCTACGTGGTCATTATCATTGGGGTTTTTAGCAGAGGTCTCAAACAAAGGCATACTGTGTGTGTCAGCAAACTTTTGTGCCAAGTCTGTGGGCACCTGAATGGCGCTTCTCAAGTCACATTTATTTCCAACCAGAATTCGAGGTATGTCATTTGCCAGCAAGTGTTGTTTGCATTCCTCTATCCAAGATGGCAGGCTGTGGAAGCTGGCCATGTTGGTCATGTCATACACAAAGACGACAGCATGCACATTTCTATAGTAGTGCTGAACCATGCTCTTCCTGAACCGCTCTTGTCCTGCTGTGTCCCACAACTGGATCTGGAGGGTGGGAAACAGGAAGCAAAGTCAACAAGTTCAGTCCAGTGACACAAGCAACTTAACCACCTCTACCTGCTCCCTAATACCTTGCCACTTATGAGCTTGTCTTTTCTGTGTTACCTGCGGAGTCTAGACTTCATGATTCTAGTCTAGTCATCATGTGGCTATTAAATATAGATTATAAAATCTGAAAAGTACAGTCTTAAAAATAATGCTTTGTTTTGTTTAGTTTTTTAAAGAAAATAGAGGGGGAAAGGTTACAAAACACTCAGAATATTTGTAGGCTGGAGCTATCAGAGGCCAACACCGAGTCAAATGTACTGAGTAAGTGGTTTTTAATTTTTATCCTGTATGCACACACATGCATGTATAAAGGTGCATACATGCCATGATGAGCACAGGCAGGTCAGGTCGACTCAGAGGTTGGCTCTCCACTAACACTTGTGGGATGCAGGGTGTCAAGTGCCTCTAGCCATTGGACCATCCACCTAGCCCTCAGTTCTGGGAACCCAACATCCTCTTCCAGCCCCTTGGTGGACACCAGGCACACATATGATGCATACTCACTCATACACATAAAATAAAAATAAACCAAACCTTTCTTTAAAATCCTAAAGGTTGATGTTCCACCTAACTCTCATGACCTCTGTTCTGGAGTTGTCACCTCCAGTTACCATGACTTGCCTAGGTGGGCGCCCTTCATCAACAAAAGACAGATACTGAAACCTTTGGCTTTAGCTTCAACAGTCACCTAGTATTTTGTGCTTTGTCACCTGTGTTTTCATTAGCTTTCTTTGTCACTTTGTCAACTGACCTGTTTGCATAACTGAACACTTAGGTCCTGAGCTTTAACCCAATACTGCAGGCATTACCAGATCCAGATCCTGCCCTAACAGGAAAGAGAGATGCATAACACAGTAAGATGGTCATGTTTGATAGGAGTGCTAAGGGGTTCCCATAGAAGAAAGCAGAATGGCTGGGATTCTAAAGAGAAGTTGAAACTCTTTCAGGAAAATACAGGCAGGAGGGATATTCCAAGCAAACAGTGAGAAACCAGCCAATAACTTGGCTCAACTACAGGATGACTGAAGGAAGAGGCAGCAGGCACCCGACAAAGGAAGGCTTGTGTTAACTGTTCCTAAATAAGATCAACTGAGCTGCTAAAAGTTCAAAGTCAGGTCTGAAGTTTTTCCCAGTACTGAGGATGAAATTCATTGTCCTGAACATGCCAGACACACTAGTGCTCCATCACCTCAAAGGGAGGCTTAAAAGAAATATTGCAGCTAGAATTTTAATGAGAGGAGTAATAGGAAAAACTGCAGTAGGAAGCCAGTTGGATTTAGGGAGTAAAAGTTAAAGATTACATCAGGATGACCTGGTAGATTCTGAATTTTATATCATTTTCATTTTCTCCAACCATACAAAAACACGGCTGGGGGTATAGCTTAGTGATAAGAGTACTGGCTGTGTAGCATGTAATGAAGAAGCCCTGAGTTCAACCCCAGCACAGAAAATAATACAAAACTCATTCTTAGATGGCATGCCACATAAAAACAAAAGTAGAGCACTTGACTGTCAGTTTCCTACTCCTTACAATGTAATAGCATTCTTTATGCTTCATATATTTGATTTATGGGGAGGAAATATCTCAGTTGTTTCTCCTTAGTTAATATTAACATCTCATTTTTAACATGGCAAAATCTCTCTTCTCCCACTATAAACAACTGACATATTTAAATAGTGACTGCTGATCCCTGGATGAAAGACTGGATTAAATCTCAACATATCAGGCTTTACTGAAGCACCTGCCAGGACAAAATGTCTGTTGAGAGAGGAACACAGCTAAACAGCCAAGGAGGAAACATATGGATTAAGACAGTCAATTTGAAAGTCAAATGTATTTTTATTTAAGGAATTCATTTTAATTCAGTTGCCAAAATTCTGTGAACAAGATTTCCCTCTTTCAAGCGTATGTATTCAGCACTCAGAAATCAATTAGCAAGTACAGACTTTCTGTAGTTTTGTTTTCTTTTGTATTGCGTATGTTTAGACGATTTCACTATGTAGCCCTGGCTGTCCTGGAATTAAAAAGGAAGACTATTTTTTAAGGCTTGGTAGCCATTGATACACAGTTCAACTGCCTAGCTGCATAGTCTGAGGAGCCCTTTTTGGATAGATCTGTGAGTGCTGGAATTAAAGGTGTGTTATCATGTCTGGCTCAGTTTTTTTGGTTATTTGAGACAATTCATTAAGTAGTCAGGCTAGCCTTGAATTTAAGGCCATCCTCCTGGCTCAACTTCAAATTATGCAGCTCTGGCAGGCCTATAACTCACATACATCTATCTATCTCTGCTTCAGGAGTGCTAAGATTGAAGGCATGTGGTTTGGTGGCCCTGCTCAGAGACATCTGACCCCAGGGATTTGCCCACCGGATTCGATCTCCACAGCAGGATCCAGCACACATAGACAAACCTTTATCCAACCTTACCAAACAAGTCTCCCAACAAAAAAAAAGCCCAGGGCCAGATGGCTTCAGTGCAGAATTCTACCAGAAATTCAAGGAACAGCTAATACCAATTCTCCTTAAAGTATTCCACACAATAGAAGCAGAAGGGTCATTGCCAAACTCTTTTTATGAGGCTTCAATAACCTTGATACCCAATCCACACAAAAAACACAACTAAGAAAGAGAACTACAGATGAATATCCCTCATGAACATTGATGCAAAAATTCTCAATAAAATACTAGCAAATCGAATCTAAGAACACATCAGAGAAATCATCCACTATGATCAAGTAGGCTTCATCCCAGGGATGCAAAGATGGCTCAACATAAAAAAATCCATCAATGTAATCCACCATATAAACAGACTGAGGAAAAAAAAAACAAAACACATGATCATCTCACTAGATGCCGAAAAAGCCTTCGACAAAATCCAACACCCCTTCATGATAAAGGTCTTGGAGAAATCA